CCCCCTCTCTCTCTCTCTCTCTCTCTCTCTCTCTCTCTCTCTCTCTCTCTCTCTCTCTCTCTCTCCTTCTTTTTCCAGTATTGGGGATTGAATCCATGGCCTCAAGCAAGCACTCTTGGACTGAGCTACATTCAGGCAGGCCTAATATATCCCATAACTTCCCTGCAATTTTTACCACCATCCTTCCAAGATACTGTGTTCCTGCTTTCCTCAGGACCTTTGCACAGAGTATTCTGTGAGCCAGAACTGCTCTTGTGACTGCTCCCACTGCCTCTTCACTCCTATTTACATAGTTAGTTTCCTGTCCCTTCTCAAGGGAAGCCTCTGACCTTCATTCCTCCCTTTAGGTTGGACTCCCCTGTCCCGTCTCCTAGCGTTACCACATAGTTTATAACTGTGTTTGTGTGATTATTTGATTGTCTCCTTTATCAGATGGTGAGTTTCCTGAGAGCAATTGCTTTGCTCCTATCTTTGTTCCACACTGCCTGGAACATAGTAGGCACTCAATAAATACTTGTTGAATAAGTGAATGAATGAACAARCCYGTAAAGAGAAGGGGGAATCTGGGAAAGGACCAAAAATCCTGTGAAAACAACCAGAAAGGATTCACAGGAACCTTGATGACCTCTTTGTAGAGTGATCCTAGAACTTGAGACAGGGAAGCAATGGAAGAGAAGGACAATGATCTTTCTCATTCCACAAATATTAACTGAGCCTATGCTATGTGCCAGGGGCTCCTGAAGGATCTAGGCTCACACTGTGAAGAGACATCTTTCTTCTCTCATGGAATTAACATGGAAATCAATTAAATAGAAAATGTAATGAATGCTGTGAGTAACAGAAGAGGATCAGACACTGGGCTCTTCTTTGAGTGGGAGTAACCAAGCCAAGGCTGAAAGCTGGGGAAGTTGGGGCTTTCTTCCCCACCCTATTGCAACAGCCCAGGAAGGTTTAGGAGCCCGGCCTAAACSTACAGGAGGACACTGGGCTGGAAACTGCACTGTACTTCACATTAACATCATCTAAAGGGCTCATGAAAAAGTTTAATAAGCCAGAATGGTGGTACACACCTGTAATCCCCGTAACTCAGGAGGCTGAGGCAAGAGGATAGCAAGTTGGAGGCCAGCCTGGGCAACTTAGCAAGGCAATATATCCAAATAAAAATCAAAAAGGGGGGCTGGGGTTGTGGCTCAGAGGAAAGAGCCCTCACCTAGCATGTGAGAGGTACTGGGTTCGATCCTCAGCACCACATAAAAATAAAATAAAGGTATTGGTTAAAAAAAAATCAAAAAGGTCTGGATGTAACTCAGAGTTAAAGCGGCCTTGAGTTCAAATCCTCAGAACAAAAAAAAAAAAAAAAAAAAAGCCCGATGACCAGATCACACTTCATACCAAGATCAAAATGACAAGGTGCTGGACATCTAGCTCAGGGGTAGAGCACTTGCCGAGGATGTGTGAGGCCCTGAGTTCAATCCCCCAGCACTACAAAAATAAGTAAATAAAAAATTTCACCTGGGCATGATGGCACATACCTATAATCCCAGTAGTTTGGGAGGCTAAGGCAGCAGATCCCAAGTTTGAGGTCAGACTAGGCAACTCAGCAAGGCCCTAAGCAACTTAGTGAGACCTTGGATCAAAATAAAATATAAAAAGGGCTAGGGATGTGGCTCAGTGAATTGAACCYCTGGGTTYAATCCCCAGTATTACTACTACTAMTAMTAATAATAATTTCAGAATGATGGGGGTGGAAGCCAGGTATTAGTATTTATTTAAACAACCCCCACCCCACCAGGAGATTCCAGTGTGCAGTAAAGTTTGGAAATTGAATAAAATTTACTATTTCTTTCTTTCTCTCCCCCACCACCATCTGTACTTGATTAACGCAGGAGCATTTAACCWCTGAGCCATATCCCCAGTTCTTTCAAATATTTTATTTAGAGATAGGGTCTCGCTAAGTTGCTGAGGCTGGTTTTGAACTTGCGATCCTCAACCTCTGAAGCAGCTGGAATTACAGGTATGCACCACCTCGCCCAGCCATTTTAACCATTTCTAAGTGTACATTTCAGCATCATTACCTCCTCCTCCTCCTCCTCCTCCTCCTCCTCCTCCTCCTCCTCCTTCTTCTTCTTCTTCTTTTTTTTTTAAGTGGGGCTGGGGCTGAACCTAGGCCTCCGAGCATGCTAGGCAAGGGCTCCACCACCGAACCACGCCCCTGCCCTAACATCGTTGTGCTACCATCACCACTATCTATTGGCAGAATTTTTCCACCATCCCAAACAGAACCTCTGAGCCCATTAAATAATTACTATCACCTCCTTCCCTAGTTCCTGGCACTCGCCACTCTACAGTCTGTCTCTATGCATTTGGTTCTTCTAGGAACCTCTGTCACTGAATTACACAAAATTTGTCCTTTTGTGTCTGGTTTATTTCCCTTATAATATCTTCAAGGTTCATCCATGTTGTAGCATGTGTCAGAACTGTATTCCTTTTTAAGGCTGAATAATATACCCTGTATGTTCATACCATTATTTTGTATTTGTATTCATYCATTGGTGAACACTTGGGTTCTTGCCAAATTTTGGCTATTGTGAATAATGCTGTGAACAATCATGTTCAAATATCCCTTTAAGTCTATGCTTTCCAATCTTTCAAGTATATACCCAGAAAAAAAAAAGAAGTCTTGTTGGATCCTATGGTAATTCCATGTTTAACTTTTTGAGGAACCACCGTAGTATTTTCCACGGTGGTGGCAGCTCTGCCATTTTACATTCCCATCAGTGATGGGCAAGGATTTGAATTTCTCCACATCCTCACCAGTCTGTTTTTCTTCTTTTATTGGATATCTTTGCCAGTGGAAAGTTTTCCAACATTTAGGAAACTTCCTTCAGACACACGCCTAGAAGCTTGAGAGAGAAGAGATAAGCCACAAATCAAAACTTCTATGAGGTCTTTCATGTTTTTCTCAACAAGGGCTAAAATAAGACTTCTCACRTCTCAGCTTCCCAGGAGGTCAGTCCCTTATTATGGATACAGCTAACTCCGATGCAACCCCAAATCACCATGCAATTGGTAAGGGGAACCCTGAGGAACCTCAAGGGAGATGGTCCCACTCATTCTGGTGGCCAATAATAGACTCCAGGTATCTGGTTCCATCATGTGGTGACAGTCATGATCAGTCAGGGGCCAGCTCTGGACACACCTCAACATCTCCAGGCCTTGGAGCCCGGCAGCAAGAATTCTGGCTCCCCACACTCCGGATCATATCCAGCAACCACTGTCTTGCTCCATGTGGCCCAATGACGGTAACTTGAGTCTGGCTTGTGGCTGTGAACCATGGCTCCACCTGAATTAGGGTGGGGCTATGCACCTCCATAGAACGAAGGTATTTATCTCCATGATCAATTACAWGCTTCCCTAGCTCTTCTTCCATGTAAAATACCAGTGGAGAATGAAAGTTTTCAGGCCACGTCCACCATGCTTTCTTGACAAGAGTGCCCATTTCCAAATGGTACACTGCTCTTACTTGACTCAGAGTACAGCAAGTCCAAGCCACTGGCTGGAAAATGTCTTTTTCTTCTTTTATAATGGCCTTTCCAGAGAGTATGAAGTGGCATCCATTGTGGCTTCTTTTTTTGGTAGTACTGGGGATTGAACCAGGGGTGCTTACTAGTGAACTACATCCCCAGTCCTTTTTATTTTTATTTTGAGACAGAATCTTGTTAAATTGCCCAGCCTGGCCACAAATTCTAATCAGGCATGGTGACCACACCTGTAATCTCAGAAACTTGGGAAGCTGAGGCAGGAGAATTGCATGTTTGAAGCCAGCCTTAGCAATTTAGCGAGACCCTCAACAACTTAGTGAGACCCTGTCTCCAAATAATTTGGAGACAGGGTCTCACTAAGTTGCTTAAGGCCTCACTAAATTGCTGAGGCTGGCTTTGAACTCAAGATCCTCTTACTTCAACTTTCCGAGCTGCTGGGATTATAAGTGTGAGCCACCACGCCCAGATCCCACAATTTTTATTGGTACATTATAATTGTACATACTAATGGGATTTGTAGAATAACACTTTTTTAAATATTTATTTTTTTTAGATGTAGTTGGACAAATACCTCTTATTTTATTTATTTATTTTCATGTGGTGCTTAGAATCGAACCCTGGGCCTCACACATGCTAGGCAAGCGCTCTACCACTGAACCACACCCCCAGCCCAGAATAACAGTTTTTTTTTTTTTTAAAGTTTTGTAGTTGTAGATGCTTCACCACTGAGCCACATACCATCCCTTTTTAATTTTTATTTTGAGATAGGGTCTCACTAAGTTGTTGAGAGTCTTGCTAAATTGCTAAGGCTGGCTTTGAACTTGCAATTCTCCTGCCTCAGCCTTTCCAGTAGTTGAGATTATACACTAATAGTGGTTCGGATTTATACTTTTTTAATGATTAGTGAGACTCAGCATTTTTTCATGTGCTTATTGGCCAAATGTATGTTTTATTTTGAATAAAAAATGTCTATTTATGCCCTTTGCCTTTTTTTTAATGGTCTTTCTATGTTGACCAGCCTAATCTGGAACCTCAGACTCCTGGACTCAAGTTATCTTCTTGAGTCTCAGCCTCCTAAGTAACAGACTATAAAAGTGCACCACCAAGCCCATCTGTCCAGTTTTAAAATTAGATTTTTTTTTTTTTTTGCTGTAGAGTTATAGGAGTTCTCTACATTTTTTTCAATATTAACTCCTTATTACATATGATTTGCATGATAAAAACATTTTTAATAGTAGACTAATCAGAAAGGCTAATGTATCTAATAGATACATTAGAATAACACTTTTTTTGGGGGGGTTCTAAGGATTGAATTAAGAGATACTTTACCACTGAGCCACATTCACCAGCCCTTTTTAATTTTTATTTTGAGATAGGGTCTCACTAAGTTGTTGAGGGGCTCGCTAAATTGCTAAGGCTGGCTTCAAACTTGCAATTCTCCTGCTTCAGCTTCCCCAAGTTTCTGAGATTACAGGTGCGGCCACCATGCCTGATTAGAATAACTTTTTTCCCACAGCTGTTGTTTGTTTGTTTTGGGTACTTAGGATTGAACCCAGGGGCACTCAA